GTAGAGATGAGGTCTCGCTGCCCAGGCGGGTCTCGAACCCGCGGGCTCAGGCCATCCACTCACCTCAGCCTCCCAAAAGGCGCGGGACTACGGGCTGAGCCACCGAGCCCGGCGACTTTTTTTTTTTTTTTTTTTTTTTGAGTTGGAGTCTCACTCCATTGCCCAGGCTGGAGTGCAATTGGATGTTCAACAGCTACCCCAGCATCAACTGGCTGGGCTCTGGCGATCCTCCTGCCTCAGCCTTCCAAGAAACCTGAACTACAGGAGCTGGCTACCATGCCTGGCTAATTTTTTTTAATTTTTATTGTAGAGACGAGGTCTCACCATGTTGCCCAGGCTGGTCTCAAACCCGCACGCTCAGGCAATCCTCTTGCCTCAACCTCCCAAAGTGCCAGGATTATAGGCTTGAGCCACCATGCCTGACCAATGATTTTTTTAAAAAATAATCTTTGATTTTAGAGTAGTTTTAGAATTGTAGAAACATTGGGAAGATAGCACAGAAGATAGCAACCACACCCAGTGTTCCATAGCATTCACATCTATAGCCACGTTTGCCACAACTGATGAACCAGTGTGAAGTATTATTGTTCACTAAAGGCTATACTTCCTCAGGGACTTAGAAACAATGATTCTTTTAGGGTCACAGTGCTTAAGTGGAAATGTGAGTTAGGCATGGAATTCTGTACCCTGACTGCCTGAAATCAGCAATAATCAAATCCCTGTCCTGTTTCTTCACAAAATCGCAGGACGATCCTTTCAAAAACAAAGCCTTGTTATTTAGCAACAACACACAGGAGCTGCACCCAGACCCTTTCCAGGTGGAAGACCCCTTCAAGTCCGACCCGTTCCGAGGTGCCGACCCCTTCAAAGGTATCTCATTTGCTGCCACTTTCTCTCCTGTCATCGAAAGTTGTCAAGGCAGAAGAACTAAGGAGAACCATGCTGAAACGGGAAGGAAAGGGTGATTAGAGCCTGTTAATAAGAACTGAGGCAGGCACCAGTGGGGAGGGCAGGCCCAGGGTGATGCCCATCCCAGAACCCAGTTGGCCCTGAGCTCCAGCCCTGTTCCTGACCCTCAGCAGGGCAACCCAGCCCTCCGGCCGTCCCAGGCTGCTGTGACCGTCAGACCTGGTCGTGAATGTGAAGGCACCTGGCAGGCCACAGTTCGGTGTGCACCAGGTCTTAATGCTCCCCCAGAGCCACGCAAGAGTCGGGGACAGCCAAGGAGCATCCTGGAAACAGGTCTCCTCTCTCTCTCCCTTTCCGGAGCAGAACGGCATTGCAGGAGGCCTGTCGGGACTCTGCAAGAGGCAGGGAGGAGTGGCAGGAGCCTCAGGCCTGGGTTCACTCGGGGTCAGGGGGACCGTGGGCCGCTCTGGAAGCCAGGCGCATTCCCTCCCCAGGGAGGAGGCAGGGACAGGAGAGCAACTTGGGCGGAAAGGGAGCGAGCCTGGTCCGGTTGGAGCAGCCAGCAAGACCTTCTGGCTCATCGAAAGTGCTCTAGCTAGAAGCAGCCACCTCTAGGCGCCCCACTGTGATGTGTGGCGGAGGCTATGGTGGCTCGGGACTATGGAGAAGAAAGTAGCACGCTCTTCCTCAGTGGGCGGTGGGGACCAACAAAAGGCCTGGCAGGCTGGCCGTGCAGAGCTGAGCATTCTCTCCCCATGCAGGTGACCCGTTCCAGAACGACCCCTTTGCGGAACAGCAGACAGCCTCGGCAGGTAAGGGCCTTTGTTCATCCTCTCCTGGCTGGCTCCGTCCTGGTTCAAGTCGAGGGAAATGGGTAGCAGCTCCCAGCCCCAGGCCAGGTCTCCTGAGACCAGGCAGCAGGGAGTTTAATTCTGGAAGGAACCTGGTTGTGAGCCATCCCTCCCGTGCCACTTGGGTTTCTACTTGGCCACCTCATGCAGGTGAGACGCAGGGTTTGAGCAGAATGCCCATAGCAGCTCGGCCATGTGTGCTGCAGTGTCTAGGCATCCCATGTGGTGCCCGTGCCTGGTGGGCCTTCTGTCCATACACACCAGGATGGCAGCTGTGTGGATGGGAAAGATGGCATCAGTACTGCACCCATGCTTAGCATCTCGTCCCTCTGGTGGCAGGCTCCACACCTGATCCAGCCCCTGAGCCACAGCTGCCCTGGGCGTGTTGCAGTCCCGTTACCTGCTCACTTACTTCTTCATTTCTTTTTCTTTTGAGGTGAAGTTCACATAACACAGAATTCACCATTTTAACATGTCTAGTGCAGTGGCATTTAGCACATTCAGCACGCAGCCATCACCTCCATCTAGTTCTAGAACATTCCCCAAAAGGAGACCCTAGCCACATCAGTAGTCAACCCCCATACCCTGGCCCCTGGTAGCACTAATCTGTTTCCTGTCTGAATTTACCCACATTGTTTGTTACCGTTTTTAAAGTCAGCATTGAGAGGCCTAACTTACACATGACCAAATTCGCCTACTCTGAGCACATGACAAGAGGAGTTTTGGCAGATGCGCAGTGACGTGAGATTAGCAGCAGGTCCCTAATCCCAGAAGGTTCCCTGTGTCCCTCTGCTGTGGCCCCATCCCCACCCCAGGTCCTCAGCCACGTCTGTCACTAGGGTTTCTACCTTTTCTGGAATTTCATGTAAAACCCTAATGTTGACTCGTGGAGCATTTTTCCTTCACTTTCAAAAACACTTTCCAGATCCATTTGGAGGGGATCCTTTCAAAGAAAGTGACCCGTTCCGTGGCTCCGCCACCGATGACTTCTTCAAGAAACAGACAAAGAACGACCCGTTTACCTCAGACCCATTCACCAAGAACCCTTCTTTACCCTCGAAGGTGAGTGAGGCGGGCTGCAGTGGGACCGGCCGGCCCTCTCCCACTCCGCGGAGTGGGTCCCGCATGTGCTTGTTGGCGTGTGGGCTGTGGGCCTGGTGTTCGCGCTCACAGCCTGGTCTCATCCCTGGCCTGGGAGGCTGCCGTCTGCCTCGGCCTCATGGAGGCTCATCCCACCCCAGGGTGCCACAGCCCGGACCAGGAGCCCCAGGTCAGGGTGTGATGTGTCCTCGTCAGCTCCTGTTCCTCTGTCCCCACCCCACCCTGGTCGTCCGTCCCCACTGCCGCCCCACCTCCCAAAAAGGCAGGTGAACACCTCACATTTGCATAGGTAGTGCATCTTCCACCCCACCCTGCCGTCTTGCTAGCACAGAGACCTGCTGGTGACATTGGAGGCAGACCGCCTAAGCGTGGTAGCCTCACCAAGTCACCTCCACATGACAGTAGACCTGGGTCCCCCAGCTTCCCAAGTGACTGCACCTCACCTCTACCCCATCATGTCTTCCCAAGCACGACAGAAGCCATATGTTCTGAGTGTTAGACCTGAGAGACTGGTTAGATTGGTGATGACTGGGATTTCCAAAGCAAAAGGTGGCCTTTTGTGATGGGGAAGAGGACTTTCAGGGGAGGAGTGGGAGCGGTTCACAGCCTCTAACTATCCCCCAGGCTTTGGCTCTGTTTGTTTGCTGCCCTGGAGCCCACCTCGCTGCTTCTCCATGGACCTGCTGTCTCCGTCTTGTGGAGCTCCTTGGAGGCAGGGATTCATCTGTGATGCTTTCTGCTCAGCTCTTTTTGGTGTCTGAGCCCGGGGTGAGAAACCCCCTTGCAGTCTTGGAGCTGGCCATCTGGTCTTTAGTGCTGTTGATCTTTTCTGTGAACTGACTGTTGACTTCATTTCCCTACTGCTTGTGTCCTATTTCATGGATTTCTTCTCTTTATTATTTCCTTTTTCCTGCTTATTTTGGGTTTACTTTGCTCTTCATTTCTAACTTCTTAAGATCCAACCTTCAGTCATTGATTTTAGACTTTGTTTTCTGATACAGGTGGTCTCAGGCTTAATCATGGTTCAGCTTACCAGGACATAACCCTATTGTAAGTCAAGGACATTTGGACTTAAGTATACTTGACTTAGGATATTTTACTTTATGATAGACATATTGGGGTATTAAACACTTTTCAACTTAGAATATTTTTAACTTAGGATGCATTTGTCAGGACATAAGCCCATCGCAAGTCAAGTTGTAACTGTCTACATTTAAAGCATCATATTTCCCTCAAACACTGCTTTGGCTGCATTGCTTACATTTTGATACTCTGTATCTTCATTGTCATTCAGTTGGAGGCATTTTCCAGTTTCTCTTGTGATTTCTTTGCCTATGGATTAAAATGTGTTGTTTTGTTTCCAGATATTTGGCTTTTCTCCATAGGTAGCCTATGATAATATTGACTTGTAATTAAATCTATTATTAGAGAACATTTTACTTGTATGTATTTTTTGAGTCAGAGTCTCACTTTGTCGCCCAGGCTGAAGTGCAGTGGCACGATCTTGGCTCACCGCAGCCTCGATCTGCTGTGCATAGGCGATTCGTCTGCCTCGGCCTCTGGAGTGGCTGGGACTACAGACATGAGCCACCATGCCCAGCTAGCTTTTTAATTTTTTTGTAGAGGTGAAGCGTCACTACATTGCCCAGCCTGTTCTCAAACTCTAGGCCTCAAGTGATCCTCCCTGACTTTGGCCTCCCAAAGTACTGGGATTACAGATGTGAGCCACCATTTCTGGCCTCTGTAAATTTTCAATACCTTTATATTTATTGTGACTTGTTTATCGCCGATGTTGGTGAATGTACCACATGGGTTTGACAAGAACATGCATCTATCCTCAGTTGCTGAGTATAGTGGTCTAGAATGCCAGTTAGGTCAAGGTGGCTGGTGCAGTATAGATTATCTATGTCTTTGTTTTTTTGCCTGTTTGAATTTTAGCTTTACCAGTGGCTGAGAGAGGGGGTTAAAATCTTATGACTGTGGAATTGTTTCAACCCCCCTTCATTTGGTTGAGTTTTGCTTTGTGTGTTTTGAAGCTTTGTCAGTTACCTACACATTTATGATTGTTGTACTTTCCTTCTTATCACTTATGAGATCCCTTTCGATCTCTGATCTCCTTGTCCCAAAGCCTGTTTTATTGCTTCATCCTCATGTCTACTACATGTGCTGTGTCTGTTTCTAGTCATTGACTTCTAGCCTTCCCAGTTCTTTATACTTGGTGGATGTCTTTTATAACTAGCCCATCATTAGGGCTTGCTTTCTTATCTAGTCCAGGAATCTCTTCCTTTTAAATGGAATGTCTGGCCCATTAACATTTAATGTAATTATTGGCACGGTTGTATTTAAGTCTACTGTTTTGTTTTTTGCCTGCTTTTTATCCCACGTTTTAGTTCCTATCTTTTGGATTGAATGTTTTCTAGAATTTCATTTGTATTCTATATATTGACTTTTTATCATTATAATTATACCTTTTAATTATGTTTTAGAGGTTGCCTTGGGGGTTGCCATGTACAGTTTTACCTTTTCATGGCCATCTTGTAGTTCACATTGCATGCCTCATGTAAAATGTCGAAAGCTTGCAACGACATGGGTCCATGTATTCACTCCCCCCACAGCGTCTCTTATGTGATGGCTGTCATATGCATGTCATGTTCCTAGAGACACTGTAATCTCCATAAGTCAGTGCTAGAACTTTGCTTTAATCCATTGGTATGTTTTCAAGAAAATGAAGAGGAAAAAAGTCCCCTTTCCGTTTCCCCGAGCACTCCTGTTTCTAGCGCTCCTCGTTCCTTTCTGAAGGTTGACTTTCCCTCCGTCCTTGCTGCCCCCCAGCCTGGAGGGCCCTGCTCACTGCTCCCTGTAGTACAGGCCATTGGGTCACCCTCCCAAAGGCCTCTGTGCGTCCTGATGCCTCTTGCTGCTTCCTGCATGTCCGGGATGCTGCCCTGTACCCAGCCTCCTTGTCTTTGGAGAGAAGACTTGTCTTTCAAGTCATGTCCTGCATGCAGTGCATTGTTTTTCTCTGGCTACTGTCAAGATTCTCTTCTCAGCTTTGGTTCCTAAGAGCCTGTGGAGTTTTTGATGTGGTTTCATTGTATTATGCTGTTTAGGCTTCACTGAGCTTTTTGAATTTGTAAATTATGTTTTTTGCCAAATGTGGTATGCTTTCAGCCACTAATTAATTCTCTTGCTATTTTTTTCCACCCTGTTTTCTCTCCCCTCCCTTTTTGGGAGTCCAATTCCACGTATGCTACACTTTCTGTACTTCCCACAGACTCCTAGTGATGCCAGGTAGGGTGCAGCACAAAACCTGTGGATTCTTTGGCTTAACCCTAAAGTGAATTTCAGAGTGGCTGGCAAAATTTTAACACAACGTTTATTAGAGAGAGAAGAGAGAGAAGATAGACGACATGTCAGAACTGGCATGGGTGAAAGAAAACCACCCTTTGCTTTTTACAAAAGGTCTGATACACCCATTTAATGATTACTGTGTTAATGATAGGCAGAGGTATCTGTTCCCATCTCTCTGCCTCTGATGGGTGGAGGGGTGGTCTTTTCCAGGGAGACTTGCTAGACTTTCCAAAACACAAGTTCATGAGCTAAAAGGTGGTCTTATGATCATTTCTATGACTTTTTGATTCCTGGTCTGGGAACCACCTTGATGGAGTTTTCCTGGGAGTCCACACTGAATTCACATTCCAGCCCACAAGGCTGGCCAACCTGCTGATGGGATATGTGGATGCTTTCTGAAACCTGCCTGCAAGAAATGTGTCCATCCACAGCTAACCTGTGCCTGTTACCCCGCATCACCAGGCTCCAATTCTGCTCATTCTGTATTCTCCTTGTCTGGTTTCTGCTCATGTGTCCTCAGCTTCACCTGCTCTTTCCTCTGTTGCAGGTTGTTGGGCTAACTCAGTGCACTTTCAGTCTAGGTGTACCTTTCCAGCCCTCGCATTTCCATAAGTGTGTCCTCTTTCCCACTAGAGCACAGTCACACTCACGGCTTCAGAGCTGTCCTTGTTTGGGAATTCTAACATCCAGGCTCCCTAGGGACTGGCTTCACGATTATCTTTCCCTTGAGAACTAGCCACATTTCCCAGGCCGTACTGTCCTGAAGCCCGTGGGGCACGATGTTTGTTTCAGCAGGCAGTTAGCCAGGGGCTCACGCTGCACCCTTACCTGTAGCTGCGGGCACTCAGATCTCAGCTTGGTTCTTGTGCCTCGGACACAGGTTGTGCGAGTCTGCCTGTGCTGGCCTACGCTGGGTTCGGCCTGTGACCTGGGGTTTAGAAATCCTGTTTCCTCTCCCACCTTTCCCATCGCTGTGGTGGCTGTCCCCAGGCTCCATCCTCTGGTGTTCAGGCCAGATTCTGTTGAGTCCTCGCCTGCGCCGTGGCTGCCCAGCCACCCTGCTGTAGCTGTTAGCACACCAGCCTCGCCCTGTGTGCCTCTGCCGACGGGTGCCCCCCACCGGGGTCTTCCTGGCTCGATTCCCTTCCCAAACCCTCAAGAGTTGTTGTGAACACATGTTGGGACTGTCTTCAGCGTTCGTAGACAGGGTCTGCTGGAGGTTGGCCCAATGCCTCACGGCCTGGCCCCGGATGTGGTGCCCGCAGATGCTCGGAGTCTGAACAAGTGCGTGGTGCTAGAACAACCGCCTGCCTTTCACTCTCTCCTCTCTCCTTCCACTCAGCTCGACCCCTTTGAGTCCAGTGATCCCTTTTCATCCTCCAGTGTCTCGTCAAAAGGATCAGGTGAGGCTAACGGCTCATCCCTTTCTGACTGTCCTTGGGCAGTAGAGGAGCCACCCAGATCAGGCTTCTGCCTCTACAGCCAGTGTGTCTGTGGGGTCTGGCTAAGGGCCAGTGGCACCCAGACCCTCACCAAGGCCCTTAGGCCAAAGTGCACACCTGCCGGAAAGCTTGGGGGAGGAATTCAGTTATAGCCCTTGGCTTGTATCTCTGGGTTTTCTCCCTGAAGAAGCCGTTTGGTCCTGGGTGCAGTTTGTGTGGTGTCCGGTGTTTGAAGGAGCCTCATCCCACAGTGTGGCACTCACAGACACACTCTCAAACCTTCAGGGTGGTGGCATCTGCAGATGCTCCCACTGTGGGAAAGGTGTTGCGTGGGCCTGCCTCCTGGCCCAGCAGGTGCGGTGGTGCTTAAAAGTTTGGTGTCATAAGCGGGGCAGCAGCTCCGGGCAGGTCACTCCTGGACCAGAGGCAAAAAGGCAGCAAAAGTCTCTGCTGCAGGCAGCCTTCCTGCGTAACCCATGGGCGGCAGTCCCCTTGGAGGCCCCCCTGCCCTTCCCTCCCTGGCAGGGAAGGAAGAGCAGGCTGTGCCCCTGGGCAATTTGTTGCTCCTTTGGTGACTGAGGATGATGTTGGCCCCCCAGAGCCGGCGTTGCAGCGAGAAACCATCTTACCAGGGCATGGGAGCCATGAGCGGAGGGAGGGAGACTGTGTTCGTGCGTCCTATGCATGAACAGCTTCCTGCTCTCCCGACTTGCCCCGGGCCCAGAAAGTGTGTTTGGTGAAGACCTGTAACTCTGACTTGTTGGTGCTGATTGCAGATCCCTTTGGAAACCTAGACCCCTTTGGAAGCGGGTCCTTCAGTAGTGCTGAAGGCTTTGCTGACTTCAGCCAGATGTCCAAGGTAAAGCCCTCCACGGAGCCCTTCCTCGCCAGTGCCCTGGTGCCCCTTGTCATGGGGTGGGCTGCCGGGCAGTTGTGAATGTCACGTATGTATTGTCGCCACCTCCCAAACATGAGGCCACGAGTGCGGGCAAGGTCTGGAAACTTCTCTCTCCCCCTCAGAAACAGCCAGCACCTGCTCCTCTCAGCAGCAAAGACACACAGATTCTCTGCCCCGGCTATTGCCTGATGACCCGTCAGATCCCAGTGAGGAAGTCGTTGCCATGGTGGAACAGGAACTCAGGAAGCATTGGGCACAGAATTCCAGGGAGGGACACGGGCGGCAAGCCTGTTGTGTGTCCAACTGAGCTCGGACTTCCCGCCTGCAGGTGTGGGGGCATCTGTAGACAGTAGAGGTTGTGTCAGGAACCATTCACGGGACAGAACTTGCAAAGGTGTTCAAAAGGCTGTGCAAATAAATGCACGTAAATCCACGGTAAGAGGTCGTTCAGTGTTGGCCAACAGCTAAGCAACAGTCCCAGATGGTGCTAGAGTCTCAAGGGCTTGGCAGGAGGCATGGTCAGAGTCAGACCGCACGCAGCCAGGCGTGAGCTGGTAAGGTGTGTCCAGCTGGACAAGCCGAGGAGTGACAGCAGGCGCCATCGGCACTGAGGTGATCATGTCGGAGTGACCTGTTGCTCACAGAAAGTGGCAGCCCTGCACGTGGAACAAGCCAGCCAAACATCCACCGTGCAATGTCATGGCACGGTACGTCCCTCCTCGTAGCTGAGAGTGTGTTTCTGTGCCAGGTGTCCAGGAAAGCTGGTGAGATGTACCATCCCTGGCACTGGTACCTGTTCCGACTCTTCTGGGTTGCCCCAGGAAGGCACAGATTGCGTCTGTCCTCAGATGGGGACCAGGCCCTACCTTCTCGGCGCATTCCACCGATCTTACCAAGTGCCCGCCGAGGCCTACAAGCAGAGTCCAGTCCCCACAGGCCCCTATACCCAGCTATGGGGGACGGGGAACCCACTGGAGCCTCCAGGCCCACTTGTGGGGTCTGCCATTGGCCCGAGGCAGTTAGGGGGGTCCCTGGAAGGCTTGTACCCCTGGAAGACATGTACCCCAGGCCTGAAGTCCCTGCCAGCCCCCATGTCTGGGCAACCCCGGTGCCTGCGTTCAGGTACCCTGCTTACTTGCTCTGTGTTTGCCCAGCAGCAGAGCTGATGATCCTCCGGGTGCCTTGTGCCTGGCAGTGGTGGCAGCATGTGACTGTGGCACACAACTTCTGAGAAACACATGAGCCTGTTCTGGTTTCCAAGGACGCCCTCCCTGGTAGCAGCGAGTGCCGCCCACGTGAGCAGTGTCTGTCCACACTCCTGAGTGGGCAAGGGCCCGGGCACTGGTGTGGGGCCTCTCTTCCAGAACGGGAGGCCCTTCCTTGCGCACACTGTCACGCATGGCACTGATGCACTGGCAGAGGGCACCCGGAGGCAGCATCTCTGCACACACTCCCACAGGTGGTAATGGCTACCGAAGCCAGAATGCCTGCCACATGGGGGCAGCAATCCTAAAGGCAGGCCCAGGCTGTCCCCTGTGTCGCTGGGCGCCGCTTCCTGCAGGAGGCCGGGCCCTCCTCACTGTCAGCACCAGGGATGGGGGCGAGCAGCGGCCCTGCCCTGACGGGCTGGAAGCCACCACAGGCCACCGTGCACACGCGAGGACCCTGTTACAAGCAGTCTCAGCAGAGGCCATGCGGTGTTATAGGGGGAGCGGCCCCAAGCAGGGACCACAGAACGGCCGTCTCAGTCCTGCCAGCTCCTTCTCCCCTGCCCCCAGGATGGCATGGTGTCCAGCAGACTCAGTTTCCACAACTGCTGAGACTCCTGGGGCGAAACCCTGCAGAGCTGTCTCTTCCCTGTTTTCCTGCCTGTTTCATCCTAAGCTCACATTTTGCAGTCCTGGAGTGGTCTTCCTCCTTGTCCTCGTGCCCTGAGGACAGGTCCCTCGTGCATGCGCGCTGTGATTTGGAGCTGGGCCCACTTTCTGTCGCACCCAGGCCAGGACAGAGCCAGGGCCTGGAGACTGGAGTCTGATCAATGCAGTTTTTACTCTTGCCCGCTGGCCCTGGGCTCGTGAGTCTTGCCTGGCAGGGTTCAGGGCTAGCCCGACCTTGCAGCCCTGTTTTTCCCTCTTGGGCACCTTTCTGTTTTCAAGAACCACATCGCGTATGTAAATAAAGTGCTGAAGGAAATGAAAGTCAAGTGGCAAGAAGGTGCTTTTCGGCTTTCCCCTGCCTGAGTGAGCGGGAGGGAGGCTCGGGCCCGTGTGGCTCCAGCTTTGGAGCACCCCGGCCTCTCTGCTGGGGAGATGATGCTGGTCTGCCTCTGGGACTTTCCTGTGGAGGCACCTCAGCCTGTACCTTAGTAAGAGCTGCCCCATCTGAAGAGTATGTACTAGAACGTATCACGTCTAAGTGACATTGGCTTGCTTTAAAAACAAATTCCCAAAAATGTCTTTTGAGAGCAAAACAAGAGTTTACTGATTTCACTCTCCCCCCACCCCCCGAAAAAGCTGTCTGTGAAGTGCGTGATTGACTGCTTTTCACCCTTTTTAGAGCTGTGTGCTCCTCTCTGGGGCTGTGTTGAAAAGCTCAGAATCATTTGCTTGCACCTGGTTTTTAAACAGTGACTTCAGATCTGTCCTCTCGGAGCTGATTTTTGCGATGGTTTTCCTGTCTTTTATTTCACGCACACTTCACTCTTGCTGAGCCTGGGAGCCCCTAGCGACTTCACTGAAACTTTTCGAAAAATAGCAATTTTCCTTGAAACTGCCCGCTATCCCAGTAGAAAAGAGTTGAGTCCCGAGGAGGCTTCTTGGGAAATTTAAGTCATGAAGGCTGGGGCCTGGAAACGTGGTGTCCTGGTGCTTAGGGGTGCCATCCTACACGTGGGGGGAGCCATCCCCTCCACGGAAACCCAAGGGCCTCGTGGATGTGTACCCCGATGGGAGGCGCTGGCTGTGCTTGGCCAAGGCTCCACAGTGGCTGGGGTGGGCAGCCCTGGCGCAAGTGTCCCCAGGTCTCACAACTCAGGGCTCCAGGCTGAACACGCCCTCAGACCGCGGCTTTGAGACCTGGGGGAAGGCTCCAGACAGTCACCACATGCTTGGGGGCGAGGGCATGGCACGCCTGAGTGTCCGGGGCCTGCTCATACCTGGAGCCCTTCCCCTGAGCTGTGCCTTCTAGGACAAGGACAAGGAAGGACTGGGCCCTGTGCCTGTCCCACCACGTCCCTGCTAAGAAAGTGGTTTTCTTTCCTCCTTCCTGTCGTGGGCTGTGGGTGTCACATGAGCCCTAGGCCTGGCCATGTTCCATGGGCAGCAGCCCTCCCCACGTCCCACTCCCCTGCCCTGCGCTTCCTATACCCTGGCCCGAACACTGCTGTCAAGCTGAGCCACAGATGACACTGCCAGTCTCCCAGGCTGCTTCTGGGACAGCCTCTGGGGACAAGGGTGGGTCGAAGTCAGGGCATCTTCAAGCCCCAGCTGCGTCTGCATCCTGGTGTGGTCACTGGCGTGCTGTCTGTGCGGACGTCTGGGGGCCAGTGGACAGATGCCGTTACCGTCACGTCCTGGCGCCTGGCACCGCAGCCCTGAGAGCAGGAGTCGGTTGTTCTTAACGTTTTACAGATGAGGGAATGAGGCGTGGAGTGGTTAGCCAGTGGCAGGGCAGGAGTGGCAGCTCAGGCAGGGGCTCTAGACCTGCACATCTGATCACAGCGTGCTGCGGCTGACGGGGCAGCCACTCTGGAACCCTGAGCGACAGGTCTTGAGGCTGGAGGGCCCGCTGTCATGGGGGCGGTGGGAAGGTGCCTCTCACCACATCACAGCCCTGCCCCGCCCCCTGCAGCCCTTCTCACTCCAAGTTTCCCGTCAGGCTAGGGTGGCCTTGGCGGAGTCTGGGGGCTGCAGGCCCTGTTGCCCTTAGAGGAAAGGGATGGTCCGCCCAGGATGGCCCCGGACCCACCCCTGGGGTAGCTACTGCCCGCCAAGGCAGTGCCCAGAGCCCAGCCTGGGAAGCAGAGAACCTGGAGTCCGGCCCCGGGGCCACTGCTGAACAACTGTGTGATTCGGGCAGGCCATATCTCCTCTGCCTCCATTTCTCTGTATGCAAAGCAGAGTTGCTGGCTGGAGGATTCCTTCTAAGGCCACAGAAAGATCAGGGGAGAAGGTCAGCACCCCTGGGCAGTCCAGGAGCTGAGCAGGGCTCAGGAATGGGGGTCGGTAGGGTCAGCAGGGCCCACAGAAGCCTTTCAGCTTCCCCAGTCCACCTGTGGCCATGCCACTCCTTTGCTGGGGGACTGGGAATAGGCCTCCTCTCCTGAAGTGCCCCTGTCTGGACTGAGCGGCCTCTGCTGGGCCTCGCACTAGAGGGGGAGCCAGACCCCCCTCCTGACTCTAGCAGGCTGTGGAAAATCCCACGAGTGCACGTTCTTGGACTTGGACTGCTCTGTCACGAGGCCTGCCCTTCAAAGTCCTCCGTCTCTTGCTGTGGCCCATCCTAGCTCCCCACCCTTGTTTTTTTGTTTGTTTTTTGAGACAGGTCTCACTCTGTCGCCCAGGCTAGAGCGTAGTTGCGTGATCATAGCTCACTGCAGCCTCGAGCTCCTGGGCTTAAGAGATCCTCCTGCCTCAGCCTCCCAAGTAGCTGGAATTATAGCCACAACCACACCCAGCTAATTGTTGTATTTTTTTAAGAGACGAGGTCTTGCTATGCTGCCCAGGCTGGTCTTGAACTCCTGGCCTCAAGCAATCCTCTTGCCTCAGCCTCCCAAAGTGTTGAGATTACAGGGGTGAGCCACCACGCTCAGTCTTCTTTTGTTTTTGTGCTTTATTATGTTTACCCCATTCCATTCGTGATACATTCACCCACCTATCCACTGGCCTGCCAGTTGATGTGTGTGTCCACCCATCCATCCGCCACCCGTTCACTCACTTACACGTCCATCCATCCACCCACCATTCATTCATTCATTCACTTGCACACACATGTACGTCCATCCACCCACCGTTCATTATCCCTTTATATGTCCTTACATCTGCCATCCATTCAGCCATCCACCGTTCATTTGTTTACACACCCACCCATCTCTTTATTTGTCTACTAATTCACGTATACATTCAGCCATCCATCTATCTACCCACCCACCCATCCATCATTTACTCATTGATCTATCCCCCCGCTCAGCACCTGCCCATCTGCCCACCTGTTTGTGGCAGTCTCTAGCTGTCTGTCTAGCTCAGTAAGCCAGAATGGTACAGTGCAGTCTGGGTTTGTGGCAGTAGGAATGGGGTGGGAAGATAGGGTGTGTGGAGGAGGCTGGCCAAGGGTCTGGCACAGCGGTGAGAGCCCCTGGAGGTGGCGTGGCGGTGGGGGTGGGCGGCACGTGAGAGTGCACTCCCACCTGGGTCACCGTGTGGATGGCACAGGCACGGAGGGGGTCTTGTCTGTCTGGCCCCCTGCCTGGAGCCACCTGCCACTAGGGAGCCGTTCAGCCAGGAGGCAACACAGGGGCCGCCCCGAACCGCAGCTCTGTTGGGGTGGGGGTGGCTGTGCCTCGGGGCCTAAGCAGAAGACCCAGGGGACACCTTGTACCAAGTCCTGGAGCCTGGCAAGACCCAGATCCCCTCGGTGGTGACCAGCGTGTGTGGCCAGCCAGGCTCCCCTCTGCTGCCCCTGTGCTGGGTGGCTTATTCTCTGGGGTCAGAGGGCCCCCGCCTCGGGTGGAGGGAAGCAGGGGCGAGAGAGCCAGGGCTGAGAGGCTGTGCCATCTGGGCTGCATCCTCGGCTAGCCCAGGCACGAGCGTCTGCCATGGACGTCCGTGGCCTGCTGCTAACGACTCTTTGCCTCTCTCTCATGTCCTCTCTTGCAGCCCCCAGCTTCTGGCCCTTTCACCTCCTCCCTGGGAGGGGCAGGATTCTCAGATGACCCCTTTAAAAGTAAACAGGACACTCCTGCTCTGCCTCCGAAGAAACCCGCTCCTCCACGGCCTAAGCCGCCCAGCGGTCAGTACACTTTCTTCTCTTGCCGTCGCCGCCGGGGCAGGAGGGCGGGGGGCCCAGGACCCGTGGGCCAGCCCAAGCAAAAGCTGATGCACAGGCCCTTCGTGGAGCACGAGGATATCCAGGCCTCACCCCACATGAGCATGGCATGTGTGTGGTGCCCACCTTTTCCCCAGCCCACAGGCCCCTTGGTGCCAGGCTCTGTTGGGGTCCGCAAGGCCTAGGCCTCAGAGCCCTCCCTGCGGCCGGTGCCTTCGTGCAGCCCCTGCACTGGCATGCCACTCCACGCCCTGGCCGCACCTCAGGAGGCACCCGCAGTCTGGCAGCCTGGTGGCCGCACTGGGCTCTTCCTCTCCCCTCCATACTTAGGAGAGCCCAGGGTGGTGATGGCTACAGGGGCCACCTGCTTGGTCACACCCCACCTGCTGGTTAAGGGTGGGGGCAGGGGCCTGGTTGTGCATGATGTGAGAGGAGCAAGGTGTTGGGCTTCCCCAGCCTGCCCAGTATCTCCCACGTGGCCGAGTGAGGGCTTTCCCACAGACCCGCATCTCCTGCCTGGGACCAGTAGCTCCTGGCCTGACCCTTGGCCCTGCTCTTGTGAGCGGACATGACCCCCGAGGTTCTTGAGAGAGGGCATGCCTCTCTAGATTCTGAGGACTTTAGCTCACGTGGGGCTTCTCCTGCAGCATAGGAGTGGGTCAACCCATTCTCTAGATGCCCTAGCAGAGGGACAAACTGCAGCACCTAGTTTGTTTATCCATGTTGGCATGCGCATGGATAGTCTCACCTGCACTGTCACGGACTGTGGTGGCCACGGGCCTCCTACACTTCTGCAGCCCCACATTCCCTGGACAAGGCTGACCTCCCCTGCCACCCTCCTTCCCCTCGGCTGCATGAGGGAGGCCCGCTAGCCTGCCTGAGCCCACCTGGCTGCTGCACCTCCAGCTCCGTGTCACTGAGGTCTTGGAGCATGCCTGCAGGCTCCCTGTCCCCATTCACTGTTCACACGCGGTCCCTGAGCCTGCACCCAGGCACCTCTTGGCAGGGCGATCAAAGGGGACCGTGTCTGAGAGTGATGCCTTCCTCTTGTTGCTCCTGGGCCCAGACCTTCTCCAGGAGCAGGGGCCGTCCCTGGTGCCCAGGCTGCAGATGAGTCATGAGAGAAAGTGTGGCAGCGGCCATGTGGAGGTTTCTGTGACCTGTGAGCAGAGACAGATATGGTGGAGGGATCGCTTCTCTAGCCACACATCAGACACTTGCCGCAAAGTGGAGGAAGAACACGTAGCAGAAGCCGCCTTTCCAGTCCTGAGAGGCTGACCCCCGCAGCACCAGCGGGCTTTGCTGGTCTCCTAGTGGAATGGCACAGGGCTCCTCTCCCCGCCTGAGAGAGGGAAGCAAAAGCACACACACACACACACACACACACACACACACACACACACACGTGTACTTCTACACATGTATGTGCACACATAGGTGAGTTCATGCTTATGCACATGCTGCATGCACACACCTGGCACACATGTACACATGTATGCTCCCCTGTGCAGGCACACGGCGCATATTCACATGCGTGTACACATGTCCTCACTTGCACACATGAACCATTGTGTGCACACATTCTCAGTGTTGTGTGCACATGCATATGTGCATGCATTGTGTCCATACACATGCGCTTATACACATTTATATGTTAATTTACACATCTGCACGTGCATTCACACACCACATCACACATACACGTATGCTACCTCACACATGCATACTCCACATGCGTGCATGCACACACACCCATGCATACACCCAGTGATCACGCACACATGTACGCGTCCACACACGCACACACATCAGGTGCATGCACATGGCACGGTGTTGTGCTTGGGGCCTATTCAGGAGCCTCCCACCTGACGGCCCACAGGAGCTTCATGTTGAGTGTTTTGGGGAACCGGTGCCTCCAGCTGCCCATGCCCCTGAGCCAGCTTGGCACCTGCCTGTGAGCTTTCCTAGCTGTGGCCTCCCGTGTCTCCCTCTTCTGTCCCCCACTGCCCTTGGGTTCCTGCCTTTAGAGCACCGTGGTCTTGGAAAGCAGAGAGTGCTGGCTGGAAACAGGGCCTTCGGGTGATATTTGGTGGCCCCGGGTGGCTGCAGAGCCCTGCCGCACGGCGCGGGGCGGAGTCCTGGGCCAGGCACTGAGGGGCTCAGGCCCAAGAGGCACCTGTGCCTTGGAGCTCTGCAGAAGCACATGAAGCCCATTTCCCTTGGGAGGTGTGTGGGTGCCCAGGTCATGCCACTGGTGGCAGCAGACTGGGCCTAGGCCCTCTGACCTGCCTTCTCCTGCCTGGTCTGCCCATTAGCCACAGTGAGAGAGCCAGCCAGAGGGTCCAGTGGGTTCTGGGGAATGGTGGGTTTGTGTGCAGTGCTTTGGCCGTGGGCGCCTGCAGGAATCTGTGGAGGCTTGAGCCTCTCCCCTTTGCTTTTCCCACCCAGAGGCAGCAGCTGAACAGAAAAGCGTGGCGCTGTCGCTGTACACGGTGCTGGGCGGTAGGTACCCACCGCGGGGCAGCTGCTGTGGGTGCTTCCAGCATGGGGTCTCCTGCGACCCGCACTAACATTGGCAGCCTGAGCACTTGGCCTTTATGAGTCTCATGTGGGGGAGTGTTTGGCATTGGGGGGGTGCAGAGAAAACCCTGCCTGGCTCTGTGGCCGAGGGGTTGGAGCCCAGCCCATCCTGCCTCCCGGCCACGCTGCGCTTGGGTGGTGGCTGGTAGTCGGCTGGAGAGGCTGGCACATGGCACTGAGTGGAGCCCTGCCAGGAGGCTCATCATGGAAACACGTGGCGCTCACCATCTCAGCTCCTTGGGATGGAGAGCCGTGAAGCTCACGTCTGGCTTTGAAGGCAACACAAGGTCCGGCCGTGTGAAGTCAGGGAATGTGCTTTTCTGCCCATCTTGCTGGCCCCACCTTTTCAGAGAGGTCATGTGGCCGGCACACAGGGACAGTCGCCTTCCTGTCACTGGAGGGCACCCTGGTGCCAGTGGGGCTGAGGAACGAGGAGAGGGGGGAAGGAGCCCCAGGGCCCTGGAGGCCAGTTGCAGCCGGCGGGGTGAACCGACTGATGGGCTGCCTGGCACTCAGGTTGTCGTCCGAGTTGGCACACGCATGTCCCTGCTCTCGGGAAGTCATGCCGACAGCCTGCTGTGCTGCGATTGTACTGCCTGGTACGTGGGACCCATTGATAGCGCCATGTCCCCACCCAGGGTGCCCAGAAGACTCTAGACCCGCTGGGTCTCTGCACTAGGAGATGGCCTTGACGTGAGAGGCCAGGGCAGGAGAATCTGAGGCCGCCCATTCCCCTGGAATCAGAGGCTGCCTTACCAGACTGGTTTCTGGGTGTTGTAGGGAGGGCACTCAGTCAGATTCTAGTCCTACAGCTGGCTACCTGTGGTGCCCTGGGCGTGTCTCTTAACCTGGCCAGCCTCAGTTTCCCTGCCTGGACGTGGCAGTGATTCAGGCCTGGCTGGTGAGCCTGTGGGTATGCAGCCTGCACAGCGCTGTGCGTTCGTGATCTGGCCCCGCCCCCACCTGGAGCACCCAGTGCAATGACTCCTCCCACCAGGGTGCCTCTCCCAGGAAAGACAGGCTGGGCCGTGGCGGATGCATTTGTGCAGGGAGTTTCCAGGGGCCTTTTCCCTCGTGAGACTGCAGATTGATGAGGTTGCAGTTGAGTGGAAGTCGTCTCCATTCAGAAGTGCCAGCGTGCAGGGAGCTGAATTTAGGGGTTCTAGGGCCATCTCCAGATCCTCACTGGTGCAGGACACTGCAGATTTGGTCCTGAGTGGCATGTGGTTTTGTGGTTCTTGTGTGCTGAGGACTACTGTTTCCACTGCAGAGGGAGCTGCTTGTTTGTTCTCTTTAAGACTCGATTGAGGTTAAATTGGCATCTGGCATATGTGGCAGTGGTGTGGGTAGAAGGTGCCAACTGGGCCGTGTCACTGAGGCTCTGGCCACCCTGCGCCCAGTGGTCCCCAGTGGCCTGCCTTCCGTGTGTCCTGAACTCACAGCTCAGGCTGCTCGGGGCTTCTCCTGGACAGCACGGAGTTCCCTATGCCTGAGGTCTTTTCTAGAAAGGTCTGTCAAGGTATTAAATAACAGCAGGTGTCTGTTTGGGGCGGAAGAAACAAGTTTCTTTCACGCAGATGCACAGCAGTCCCGCAGGCCGCCCGAAACCTGTCAGTTGGAGTGAGGTTAGAGTTGCTGGGCACACACCTCCCCCAGGTAAACAATGGTGTATTTTCTGCAACGGGCGGAGATCGAGATCAGTCAGAGCTCACCGCTGAAGAGTTTCTAGGTAAAAGTTGTTGATTTGCAAAGAGAGAAACAGATTTTTTTTAAGTGCAGGAAACGGCTGTGTGGGTGTCAGTGATTGGCCTCGCCCTGAGATAGTGGGATTCTGCGCCCGGCCCCACCCTGGCCGCTTCCTGCCAGTGGCCCTGGCTGCGGTTGTGCTGCAGCCGGGGACTCCAGCCTGCGCTCCCCCACTAACCAGCCAGTCACCTTTAACCTCTTACAGCCTAATGGTCCCTTCATTACTGCTGGCGACCTTTTCACCTCTAAGCAGAGCCACATGCGTGGTGATGGTGATGTCCTCTCAGCCCCCACAATGGTGCTAACCAGCAGCTGCTCCCCAAGCCTCACGAGGTGCAGTTAATCCTACTTGATGTCAGCGGCTCTCTCGGAAGAAGAGGACATCATTTCTCCCCGAGCAAGCGAGTCCCCTCCTATACCTGTGCGTAGTGTCCACATGGGGCTGTGTGGACTCTGGCTGCAGGGGTCATGCGGACTGCCCACTGGGGTCACCACACAGGGTGCGGTAACAGAGGAAACCCCAAGTTCCTAAATGATGCTCCCTTCCCTCTCTGAAATGCCAGGCAAAGGTCAAGGCCAGGGTGGCCGATGACCTCTCCCTGTTGCGTGTCCCACTTCGTCCTGAAACCTTGTTGATT